GTGCTGGGTGCCTGTCAGTCAGAGGCCATTAGGAGAGACAGCTTCCTAAGGAGAGGAGAGCCTGGGAGGTTAGAGACTTCCCTAGTCACACAAGTGTGAGGTAACACAGCTGGGCGGCAGAGCCAGGTCAGACTCCCAAACCCATGCTCTCCCCACTTCTCATCCTTTTTCTGAATAGCTCCTTAGAAGGAAGTATTTGGTCATTAGCAGACAGAGATGTTCAAATGATACAGTATGACATGTTTCCTGTGAAACATCCAAAATCTAACTGTGAAGAGTAAATTCGCCATGCTCATCCTGTGGACAGGGTAATTTTGGTGTCTAAGTCTGATGGGTACCCCGTCTAGAAATAAGGCCTGCGTCAGTGGCATTTAACACACACATACCACACACTCCGCTTTTAAAAAGAGGCAGCATGTTGGTCATGTTGGCCCAAGGAAGGTCTATGGTTATGGGAACGGTCTAAGGTCCCATGGATGAAAATGGATCACACATTTGAGGAATTTAAACCATACAAAGAATTTTGAAACCCAGTTTGAGGTACTCGATCCAGTCAGAGTTAGGCATGTGTGGTGGTGTTCATGGTACCACACGTAAGTGATCTTGTCAGTCTTAGAAGACTTCAGGACACAGCTTTCAGGAAATTAGTGAAACTTCCTTCAAGTTCCAGGACTTCCTTTTGAGGAAGGGATTGACTTAGGGTCAGTTTCACGAAGTTCTTACTAGAGACTGGATGGTAGAGAGGAGTCAGAATACACTGTGTTCATGAAGGTGCCAAGGCGGTTCAGGACCTCTCTGTAAGGTAGGCGACAAGACTGCTTGCTGATGGACCTCATCCGACTTTAACAGGCTTGGGAGGACGAGAGAGAACAGGACAAGGTCTGGGACCCACTCTCCTTGCCTAGTGATGAGGGACACGCAGCCAGCTGTCCCTCACAGCCATGAGGACTCCATTCAGGTAACATGTCTGAGATAATGCTCTTTTATAGTGACATCCACATTTATAGCTATCCAGTTTGTCTGTCACCACTGAAGACTGATGAAGATGTAACTGAGTAAATCATGCTTATAATAAAGCAAGATGTTATTAAGATGGCAAGAAACTTGCTCTAAGACTATAAAAGCTGTGCTTTAATTTGGACCCCACTACTGACATGTAGCTTTACCAAGTTATATCCCTTCTCCAAATGCTTCCTTTTTTGTAAACCAAGGAAAACGCTATCCATCTTACCTCAAACAGCAGTTACTGACATGGGTGACTCTGGAAGTATGGTAGAACTGTTGCTGATGACAAGGCATGATCCTCTTAGCAATTAAAGTCCACTTTTTTTTGTTGTTTTAATTTGCTACATTTTCTCACCTCCCATTTTTGGGTAATGTGAGCATCCCTTCTTTGAAACTTGAGTCAGACATTGTAAAATGATTTTTTTCTTTTTTGGTACTGGGGATCGAACTTGGGTCCTTGCACTTGAGCAGCAGGTGACGAAACCACTGAGCTAAATCCCCGGCCCAAAATGATTTTTTTCCTAAAAGCATTTAAATTATTGCAGGAAGCAAAGCAGACTGTATTTTATACATAAGACAAAAGTAAAGAATAATCTTTGAGTTTTAAGAGTGATCAGAGCAGCTTACTATACATGGTATTTATTGTGTGCTTTCCACACGTGGCCCACGTATCCCTCATAAGCACTCTGTACATAGGTACTCTTATTACCTATACCTAGTAAAAGGCAGTCAACATTTGAACATAAAAAGGCTTGGCTATAAAAACCTATATTCTTGGCTAGTTTGTTACCCTTCTTCAAAGAGTTGCACTACATAGGTAATCCTCAACCCTAGTGTTTTATTATTATTATTTTGGGGGCCGGGGATTTAGCTCAGTGGTATTGCTGCCTGCCTCACAAGTGCAAGGACCTGAGTTCGATCTCCGGTACCAAAAAAAAAAAAAAAAGCAAGCATTATTAGTTTGTTTTTTTGAGACAGGGTCTTACTATGTAGGTCAGGCTGGCCTCAAACACACTATGTAACCAAGGCTGGCCTCAAACTCCAGGTGATCCCCCTGCCTCAGCCTCCAGAGTGCTGGGATCACAGGTGTGTGCCACCACACCCGGCCCTAGTGTTGTTTTTGGTACCAGGGATTGAACTTGGGACCTTTCGCTTTCGTAGCAGGTCCCAAACCACTGAGCTAAATCCCTGGCCCCCAGGCCTACTGTTTTAAACAAGTGAAGCTTTCCAGTTATTCATGCCAGGTCATGCATTTTGGCCCTAATTTGAAAAAAAAAAAAAATCTACCAAGTTCTTCTCTGGCTTTATACATACAACTTGTTTTTCGGACACAGGGGCTGAAACCAGGGCCTTCACATCTGGACAACAACCTTATCCCTTTATGGGCCAGGGTCCCACTTGGTTGCCCAGCTGGGCTTAAACTGCAATCCTTCTGTCAACTTTTAAGGTTGCTTTATACACACTCAAATCCCTCTTTAAAAAATTAAATAGCTGGGTGTGGTGGCACATACTTATAATCCCAGCTACTTGGGAGGCTGAGGCAGAAGGATCACAAGTTTGAGGCCAGCCTGGGCAAATCTGTGAGAACTTATCTCAAAATAAAAGTGGCTGAGGATGTAGTTCAGCAATACAGCTCTTGCCTTGCATGACTGAGGTCCAGGGGCCAATCCCCAGGACTACTAAATAAATATTTGGAAAATTCTGTGGGCCAGGGGAGGAATCCTCAAAAAGTAAAAGTGGGAGGGAAGAAAAAGGGAAGGTAAATGAACATGTATATGTACATGTTTTGGGAAAAAATTCAAAACTGAAACCCAAGAATTAGAATTATAATAATTCTATTGATTGCAACAGGGTCTCACTATGTAGTTCTGGCCAACCATGAACTCACTATGTAGCCAGGCTGGTCTCAAACTTGTGGTAATCCTCCTGCCTCAGCCTCCTGAGTGCTGGGATTACAGGCATGGGCCACCATACCTGGCTGTCATAATTCTATTTGAAAATTAGCTGCTAAAGTACTTTTCTGAATATTCAGAACATTAAAGTTTAGTATATCTGAAAAATTATCAGATAACATGCAAATTTAAATTGCGAATTATAGAAAGACCTGATGTGCTTTTAAAGGATGAAGTCTATCGTTTTCACACACAAAAAATCGAACAGCAAGTAGCTAAATTGTGAGAATAAACTCTACACTTAAATGGGATGTAGAGTTTACATTTCCACTAAAACATGGCTGGTAGGGCCGGGGATTTAGTGCAGTGGTTCTGCCCTTTGCCTTGCAAGCACAAGGTCTCAAGTTCGATTCCTGGTACCAAAAAAAAAAAAAAAAAAAAAGCTGGTAACATGTGATGGTAATCAACACTGCATCTAATAAGTAATGATGAGCAGCAAAACAACACAATATACTCTAAATATTTCATTGAAATGCTTCAGCATTTTGGCTTCTTGTAATGAGGTATTTGTATAAGTATTTTGTTCACATTTCATGTACCATTTAAGCTCACGGAGTTCTCTTTTAGGAAAAGGGGATGATGGTATGGAAATTACCTTACCTTTCTTAGATTGAGTCATTATTACTGAAACATAACCAAGGATCTCACCAACTCCAAACTTAAAAAACATTATGGTGATTTCTTACTCCCTCTCAACATGCACACACTAAATTTAATTGATTTTTAGTTTTGGGGATGCTGAAGATTGAACCTCATGCATGCCAAGCACACATTCTATCACTGACCCCAGCCATAAAGCTCATTTAAATAAAAAAAGATTGTAAAATTATACAAGAACTGTACATTTTACCTTGCATCAGTGCTAACTCTGACACGGACTCTGGCTATCATCTCAGAAGATATGATTTAAATCTGAGAATATCAGAAGACTAGAAAACAAGCAAAGCTTCAAAATATATACCAGAGTAACTTTAAAATTATTTAGCAATAGGTACCAATTTTCTTGTGAGGGTAACAGTAAATTATTCCATTTGCCCCATTTAGCCATCTTGGACCTGCTTGGTTACTGCCAGGTTATCCAAAATCTATAGGATTTGCTTGGGAAAACTTTAGAAGACATGGGTCTGTAAGTTGATACATTTCCTATACCAGGGATGGGGAGACTATGGCATGAGTGCTGCAGTTGGTTGTTTACCACTGAAGGCTCTAAAAGGTTTGCCACTGGTGTTACATGTTTACTCATTCATTCATTCGGTACTGGGGACTGAACCCAGGGCCTTTGCAATGAGGTACATCCCCAGCCTTTTAAACTTTGGAAAAGGGTCTAAGTTAATAAGCTGCTTAGGCTGGGCTCAAACTTGCAGTCTTTCTCCCCCAGCCTTCCAGAGTGATGGCATTACAGGTGTGTGCCACCACTCCCAGCTACATTTTTGATTCTAAAATGATTCCTAAAACTCAAGTGAAGGAAGCAGTTTCATTTTATGACTTGTTTTCCTTCTCTTCTGCATCTTGACACTACCAGTTACCCAGTGATTTGAGAAGAATGTGGTGAAGCAGTGAATTAGGCCTCTACTACTTATTCAGCCTTATGTTAGATTTACACATCTACTTTATACACCTCCCCAAAGTTTTAAATGAGTGGGCATTTTCTTTAATTTAGGACTTAACAGTTACTTTATAAATATAATACTTTACGATTCAGAAAGACAAAAACTCAAAAAGCAAAACTGAAAAACTTGCAAGCAGCCTTAAAAGCATTCAACCAATGCTAACATTTCAGGGCCCTGTCAGTGCTGTCGAATTTCTATCTTAATCTACAGAGAACCAGGTAAAGCCCTTGAGCCACTCCACAGATGCTAAGTGTTACTTACCAGGATTAACCACGATAATGGTGATTAGGTTTAACTTTAACAGCTTGAAACACTTCATGTTTGTCTTGAAGTATACTTAAAGAATTTATTCAGCTGATTATTAAGTAAAAGGAGCTAAGTTAGTCAATATTCTAACTCTTGAAAGCTCTCTTTGAATGTAATTTTCATAGTCTTTACATTTTAACTGTCATTGTTTATTACTGTTTTGGCTACATTCTCTACAATTTCAGCAGCATCTTAAAGAGACAATGTGTCTATGTACAATGAAAAAACAAAATGGCTTTCAACATCAGAAATAAGAGCCACAGTTTAACTGTACAATATTAAGGGGATTCTGTGGTAGGTATAGCTTCTGTTTTCTTCAACATGGACAACTTACATGTAAGTATGAGCATTATGAATGTGACAATAAAGAAAAAATCCTTATAGGAGTGAAACACAGCATCTTGAAAAATATTGGTTTCTACCATACAAGGCAGTTAGGAAGTATTCACATTTTAACAAATCTGTACAAACCACAAGAAACTTGTTTATGGGACTGTCATCCCACCTTGATGATAAGAACCTTTCTAGAAATGTCAAAAAACCATGAACAGTTTATAAATCTAGTATCTATGTGCTCCACAGCCCTAGAACCCAGGAAACTGACTTAAGGAACTCAACATGGCCAACATGGATCATTTTTAAATGCCTTGATTGTTAGTGAATGCCCAATATCTCTTTTAATATTTCTCTATGATGTACAGTCAACTTGCATCTTCAAAGGTCATTTAATTTTTTAGCAAAAGAAGCAATGTCATTTAGCAGCAATTAAAGCGCCTTCAAGGAGACTTAAAAAAAATACAATATCCAATTAGAAAAGCCATATTTTAAAACATTTGTACAAGAATAAGCTGCTGAAATTTAGTAATTGAAATAGGACATCTGTACAACAATTTACAATAGAGCTAGAAGGGAATTTATCATTATCCTGCATAGAACTGGTCTGCATTTGGTTACATACTCTCTCGTTTCAATGAGCAAGGCCTGGTAACAAAAGAAAAATACCTGTTAATAACTCTAACAAGGTGAAAGCACTGGAGATATTACAATTTAGTGAATTCAACTGATTCCAAAACAAACAGCTTTTTCTGTCAAAGGTGTAAAGTATCTAGGAATAAAAGCTCTCCCTTTAATATAACCAGTGGAAAGAAAAACGGACACATGATCTCAAGGTACAACTTGGTAAAAGCCAGAATAGGCAAATGACAAAGTCTAACTCTGTCCAAAGATTCTAACTCTCACATTCTATTATTATAAAACACTACGGCCACTGTCATTCAGTTCTTACTTTGGTTTCAGCAGATTAACTGCCGAAGGCTGAAGAATGTATCCAGGCACTGTAGTTCTTGTGTTAGAAATGTCTCATATTTTTTTCCATGTGTTTTTAAATAATGAAAAACTACCCTTCATATTAGAACTCTCTAGTAACAATCAAATATATTTAAGTATTATAAACGTTATGTACAGTGTTCCCCCAAATAAACAAACAATCCCATTTGTCTTCTATCTCCACATGGTATTCCTGTCTCTGCAGCAGGCAGCCACCCTGCACTGCTCCAGGTGAACGTGAGAAGTGTACATTTATTCACTGTCCACGATCCACTCTCATACAAACAACGATATGAAGAATTTCAGTTCACAAACAATCCTTAACCATGTCCTGTGTAAAAAAGAAAACAAAAAACACTCAAATGCTCTCAAAACTCAAGTGTGCATCTGGAAGCAATTCAAAGGTATCATGCCGATCCTGGAGGAGAGTCAGTAAGTGATTATGCTTGAAGAAGGGGGTGTGGGAGATGCCGTCAGTCCAGCCATGTGTAAGTTTCCTGAAGAATTCGATCTTCTCATGTGTGGGAGAAGGTATGGATCGTTTGCCAGCTGGTGCACATCAAATCGATCTTCTTTTCGGTATGCCAAACAGCGTCTTATAAAGGCCTTTTTTAGAAGAGAAAAAGTCAGCAATTAAAATGATCTTTTTTCCTTCTTAAAATCAATCCAACAGGATCCAACAGAAGGATGGACATATTTTTTTTTCCCTTTTTTTTTTTTTGGTACTGGGGATCGAACTGGGGTCCTTGCATTTGCAAGACAGGCAGTGGAACCACTGAAAGGATGAACATATTTAAGACTATAAACAGACCTAATTTTATTGGAAATTGATACCTTAAAAAATGTGTAGCAATAAAATTCTGGCTCCAAATTCAACTCTACTAAATTCCTAGTGCCACATTATAGTCTCAATTATTACTGCTTTCCTTGGAACTGATTGTTAGAAAGCTGCAGTGCTGTTTATAAAATTCCTAAGACTCCTTTTTCTAGCATTTTTCTTTTGCTAAACAATACTCTCACACTCATCCCATTTTGTTATCAGTTCCATTTGGCCAAATCGTAAGATGTCATCTTTAGCCATAATATTTTTCCCTACTGAGGATACAGATTTCTTCAGGTGAAGATAATATTAAAGTGATTTGAGTCTATTTCCTAATTCTGTGCATCATTATAATTTTGAAAACTCTAAATAATGGAATGTAACTACTATCCTTTTTACTTTCTATTCTTCCAGTATAGCATATAAAAAGTCTTTATGCAAGTACATTTTTAGAAATGCACACAAACTGTAAGTGTACAACAGCACAATATGAATATATCTATGTAACTGGGAACCAAATCAAGAAAAAGAACATTACTGGAACCTCAAAAACCTCCTCATTCCCCTTCTGTTCCAGGCCCTGACTGTCCTCAAATGAGCAGGGTAACATCTACCATGACTTCTAATAACACAGTTGAGTTTGTTTTGAACTTTGTATAAATGGAATCATGGATTATATTCTTCTTTGCCTGGCTTCTTTCACTCAGTAGTGTATTTGTGAAATTCTTTTTTTTTTTTTGGAATTAGATAAAATTTTCTCAAGAGATAATTGATAAGTGTTTCTCTTTCTTATTGCTGATACCAGAAATAACTTTAGCTTGTCTTAAAATCCTAGCTGTCGTATAGATTTGCAAATGAAAGCATTTACAGGATAAACACATAAGATAAATACCATTAAATAGACATTCAATCACATTAAAAAGTAACCATTTTGTACTTTTGCTTTAAAATTCATTAAAAACACATTTTTCTCTAAAAACACATCTAGTTATTCTCATCCTTTTACTGTGGTTAGCTTAGTACTATTACAGAAAGTCTATTTGATGCTTTAGTAGGTTTACCACTTTTGGTCTTTAACAAATTAAGTTTCCGAGTTCACTTGGAAAATGATTAAGGTAGGAAAAAAAAAAGGTGACTGATACGGTGAGAGGCAGAGTTTGAGGCAATGAAAGGCTCTAAAAAGCAAGGTTAGGTTTAAGAAGTCTGTAATAAGTAAGTGAAGTCAAGATAGTCACACCAGGTTGACAAAAGTGTATTCTATAGTACAAGGTGAGGGTTTTTTTTTTTTTTTTTTTTTTTAATGCCCCTGTAAAACTCTTTCCCCCAAGAGTGGTGACTGAGGAAGCCATGGCTTCTTTCCACCAGAGTGGCACCTTCCACTCATTAAGGGACATTTGTTAGTACTATAAATAAATAAATGAATGGAACTTGGTTTAACTGAATTCATGAAATTTCTCTTCTCACTGAGGCAAGATAGAGAGGAAAACAAGATTTAGATACTGGTATTATTTTAAAAGAATAATATTTACACTTTATGAAAATAATTCATGTCTTAAAATAATAGCATTGCATTTATCTTTCTGTCAAAATCTTTGAACCATCATTGAAATAATTTATAAAGAATGAATAAAAGTTTAAGGAACAAAATGCTGGTCAGTTTCAATAAACACATAATGAGGTTACACAAAACTCAGCCACATCTTGAATTATGTTTTATTTTGTTTGTTTTGGTACCAGGGATAGAACTTGGGACCTTGTGCTTGTGAGGCAGGTGCTGGAACCACTGAGCTAAATCCCCAGCCCTAGCACATCTTCAATTATGAAGGCTACTATGACCAAACAAAATCTAGCAGCATTTACCTATACTATAAAAGAATAAGAGAAATATAGAAATTATATAGTGCCTACTTATGAGCTAGTCTTATGGCCTGAACTATTCACACTAGAAAAAAAACAGGAACTTCATGGGATTGCCTTATGGATTTTAAAAAAGGTCACAACAGAGAGTCAGAGAGAAATGAGCTATGCGAAAGTACGACAAAGCAGGAATAAAAATACAAATAAGAAAGGCCAACAAGATGAACGGAGGAAGAAATCCAGCATGAAAACAGTTTTGCTATTAGAAATACTTTTATTCCCCACTATTTTATTACAAAGACATACACATACATAGGTCAGAGCTAGATACTGGATGCACATGGACTATACTATACTGGCTCTCGAGAGTTAACACGGGACAGTTCACAGGTCAAGGGTGTGGGTTCCGGTGTTTGGCAGGGGTGGATACTTTGAGCCATGGCTCTGCTACCTACAGGATGGTAAGATTCTTTTTTTTTTGGTACCGGGGATCAAACTCGGGTCCTTGCACTTGCGGGGCAGGCGGTGGAACCACTGAGCTAAATCCCCGGCCCATGTTAAGATTCTTAAGAAGCATTTTTGCTATGGGGTGCCTGATTTCTCACTTACAAAACATGAATAAAGTAACTATGTGTCATAAGGTTTTTTAAAAGATAATGTGTAGCACTAAATAAATGAAGCACTAAATAAACTGAAGTTATTATTGCTACTTGAAAAAAGTTTTTGGTGGTACTGGGGATTGAACTAAGAGATTGTGCACTGAGATACATTCCCAGCCCCTTTATTATTTAGTTTTTGTTGCTGTTTTGACATTCTCACTAAGTTGACCAACTGCCCAGGCTGGGCTCAAACTTTTGATCCTCTCGCCTCAGCCTCCCATTCCCAGGTTACTTTTATTTTTATATACTTAAATATCTCAGTATTAATATAAGCTTATTAAATAAGACAAAGATAATGATGCCCAGATCTTGTGATTTTCCCTAATTTTCAAAGTAAGCAGACACACACAAAGAATTTGAAGCCACGTTTGGGCACTTAAATGATGCACATTACCAAAACACAAGGCTGAAACAGCTCTTTCCCTGAGCAAATCACCAGCCCTCATTGGTCAGGCCCCTGGCAGCGGGAGCTCTTGTCATCACAAGTACTTACCATATTATGAGCACAATTCAAAGTTACTGCATAAAACTTACTGAGGTGGATTTAATACCTTGGCTTCACTGCTTACAACTGGTTTTACAGGGAACTGGACTTCTGTGGCTTTTAATATTGTATTTTCTTGAAGAATGTCTTGTTGAGATTGATTGTGACCAAATGGCTTTAAAAAACAAACAGATAAAATGTTGAGAAATTTATCTCACAAAATATTTCAAAGATATCATCAGTGACCCTTCCCAAACAAATGATTTATGTTTTAAAATCTTGTCCTCAGTTATTTGGTTTTATTTTTTTGGTACCAGGGATCGAACTTGGGACCTTGTGCTTGCAAGGCAACCACTGAGCTAAATCCCTGGCCCATCCTCAGTTATTTGAAAGTTGATATGTAGTCTCACAGATACACAATTAAAATGACAGCAAGCTGTGAAAGCCTATCTAAATCAATCCTCACAAAATACTGTAAGAAGGAGACAATAATGATGTTTCAATATAAGAATTAAAATAAAAGAGTCTAACTTGGAGTCAGGAAATCTGAGTTTGGTGTTAACATGCTGTGACCTTCCAGACCAGTCCCTTAACCTCTCTTTCCACAGTGATGCAGGGATGGGGTGGGATGTGTACCAGATAATATCCATGGCAACCTGTATTTATTTATTTTTTATTTTATTTATTTATTAATTCAGGACCTTGTGCTTGCAAGGCAGGCACCAGAACCACTGAGCTAAATCCCCGGCCCCTGTATTTATTATTCAGTTTGATAGTATTTCTCTTAGGAGTCAAGGGGGAAACTATGCCCAGGCTGAACTGTGTGTATAGAGATGGGATGGTAGTAGGTGGCAGACAAAGCAGAGATTAGAGGATAATAAAAAATGTTTTGACTCCTGTGTTCAACGGACAGAAAATATTAGCAATGTCAACAGTTGGCTGTGGGAGAGGGAAGAAAGCCAAGTAAGTGGTTATGACATTAAAATAATTCTGATTCTAATCTGTGGAAAGTTTAAGAAAAGAGTCCTGGCTTTACTTGGAAGGACCTAAATTGACATCAAGTAGTGAAAATTAGCATTTAAGAGGGAAGATTCGACTTGATTTATCTCTACACAGCTGTAACTTAACTTACTTTTCTACCATAGAGACACTGAAAGAAGATGACACCAACTGACCACACGTCAACCTTGTTGGAAATCTTTGGTGGCTCTTTTCCAACTACAAAACATTCAGGAGGTAAATACCTATAGTTTTAGGGAGAATAAAAAGAAAATATTACATGTTAACAATCTTTAATTTAAAACCTTCTAAAACATTCAGTATCTTAGAACACTATTTTTATCCACATATAAAAAACCTTAGAGCTTTCATCATTTAACTCTACAGCAAAATATAACTTTGTGAAAAAGTACAGTATACAGTACAGTATAACATTTATATCTACATATATAGCTACAGAAACAAAAAATTAACATTAGAGATCACAATATTCTAACTTGAATATTTAATAATAGGAGAAATCCTCTCTCATCCCTCTTAACAAATTGTTTGAGCTGTAAGCAGTTTTCAAAAAATATGGTGAATGTTTAAATTAATAACAAATTTATTTCAGTAAAAGCTATTGCCATTAATCCCCCTCAGAACACTTGCCCTCACTTAGAACACTGCCACTTTCTAAAGCCGTTCTGGAAGTCTCCTGTTATGTCTTTATTTGCATTGTTGTCCCAAATGGATTCAAAACATTTACCCTTCATAGACATGGTCATGCTGACTTTGGGAAAGAGCCAGAAATCACATGGTGCCAATCCAGTGAAGAAAGTGAATGAGGACACACTGGAACAGTGATGGCAAACCTTTTAGAGCTTTCAATGATACAAACAGCCTGCTGTGGCACTTGTGCGTGCCAATAAGTTTGCTACCACTGTACTGTAATGTTTTTATGGTACTCAATAGCACCATTAACCACATTTTTTTCCCCCTGGTACTGGGGATCGAACTCAGGCATTAACCACATTTTTGATCACACTTCATAAAGAGATTCACAAATGAGAACTTCCAAAACTGCTTTACAAGTGGCAAGAACAATGAGATAAGTGTGTTCAAAGACAAGGGGAGGCAAATTCTGAAGGAATCAATGGCAATGTGTCTTTTTACTCTAATAAAATTTTAAATGTAAACATTCATCATATATTCTGATCACCCTGTGTACATCAATCACATGGTTCTCTTGTTTCAATTGTCTGCAGAGAACTTACTGAAAAGATAGTCTGAATATCTCTTGTTATACCTCTTGTTCATACTATAAGACCCATCCTAATCTGGCAACATCATAAACTTCGAACTCTGCACCCACTGTGATCTCTCCCTTCCCTGACTCTCAGGTGGTCTGGTCTGGTTTCCTCACACTGCTCTCCTTTTTCCTGTGTGCTTTCAAGTCTCTATGTCCTCCCTAAGTGCTCACTCAGTGTTACTTGGTGAGTGCCTTTTCTCTTTCAAAGACCTCCATAAGCCTTTGCTGTTTTCCTCTAGGCAGGGCCTTACTGCCTCCCCCTGCCAGGGCAGGGCAGTGTGGTAACTGTGTGATGGCACTGACTGTTACAAAACTGAGAAGTACAAGGAATTCTTATGCACTGTGTAGTTTCAAGCACTAGCAGTGTCTGAAATATACTGAGTATTCAAAAAATGCTAACTTTACATATTGAGTCCTATTTATAAACATATTTTTTGATAATGGAAGGATAAAAATTAATTTGTCATCTCAGTTTATAAGTAAAAAGATCCATCAGGGATGCAAGCATCTCATACCCCTAAAATTTAGATGAGTTAAAAATCACAAAAAGGGGCCGGGGATTTAGCTCAGTGGTTTCGTGGCCTGCTGCGCAAGCGCAAGGACCCGAGTTCAATCCCCAGTACCAAAAAAAAAAAAATCACAAAAGGGAATAATGCAGCTAAATGGGAATCCACTTTTTAAAAAATGCAGTCTTATACTCTCTATATTCTAATCATTGAAATTTCAAGATGTTGAATGATCTCTTAAAGACAAAGGATTTCTGTAAAGTAGAACCTCCAAAGATGCCTCACTAATGATGGGAAACCTTTCCTACCCCCCAAGTCAAGTAAAAGGGTAAATCTGTTTTATCAATGAAAGTGGCTATTATTTGGGTATCTATGCATTAATGGAAACATGCATGCTCTTGAACACTATACATACAGTCAGAATAGACAGGAAAGACATTTAGGGGAAAGTGCCCAGCAGGATTTAGTGAGGAATTGCACTTGACACTAAGAAGAGACAAAACTGACTTTTAAATTTCTAATACTGGTATAATTCTAAGTTTCTGGGGATGTCAGGTAACTTATAAAAGCATTTTTTATA